TCATAATACACGGCCATGTTAACGCTTCAACGGTTGTTGACCATATTCAGCAATGCGCTGTGGAAGGATGTTATTCTTATTGCTGCAGTCGCTGCTCTTCCAACAACATAAAACTACCGTCATTTGTTTTTTTAAATTAAAAAAAGAAAAACAGGGTGCGGGTTGAAATTATCTTCGAATGCTTTCATTCGTTCACTCGCGCGCTGGCAAGCGACGGGGCCATGTACGGTTACGTTTGAGTCAATACGTTTTGACATCAACAAATCTGGATTGCACAGAATAATTCCAGCGAGAATCCCTCTGCGTGATCGGTGCAGTTGGACGGGTCGGTGACAAAGACTTCCACTGGCGAGATGTTAACTGCCTCGCCCGGTATACGGGAGGTCGTGGGTTCCATCCCGAGCCCGACGCCTGTATATTAAGAGTTTGCGGGGTCTCTCTCCCCATGGTCGTGTGGATTTTTGTCCGGGTCCTCTGGTTTTTCACTCTACATTTAGAATATGTGGCTGCTATAAATGTCCACGCGATGAGCCACTCCGTTGAGCCGTCTATTGTGGCCAGGTCGCTTCTGAAAAAGAGCGGCGTAGCTCATTGGGCCTTACCTGGTAAAATCAAACAAATAGTAACAATAGCAAAATAGAAATGCGAAAGCCTCAAGCAGGTTACGCTACACAGGGTGCAAACAAAAGATAGTTGAAGCACTGGGACTGTCGGCATCTGCCAGACTGTCACATCCAATCAGCTGTTTCACTATTCGTAAACAGCTGTGCGCTATTCTTTTTCTCTTGCGAGCAGAAGAGTAAACATAAAGATTCTTTCAATGTGAAAGAAAACTATTTGACGGATATTAAATTAACATTTTAAAACGTTGTGTGCTGTTGGGGTTTTTTTTCTGAAAAGGGAACATCAATGGAAAAAGCGATGGAAAATTTCAACTGCATCGCAGGATCATTCCTGTGAAAATGTAACCATTCGTTTTGACACGTCACTGAATATTTAATAGACTTTTTTTCTCACTACGTGGCCTCGCTTTTGGGAGTGCATACGATGCAACTTGTCAATTTGGTCTGCCGTAATTTCATAACGAGCTACACACATGTGTCCGTGACCGACTGCTCAAAGAGCAAACACAAAGGCAGCACCCCCCACAACTTAACATGCATGCACCACTCAGCCGTTAAGATGAATAGGGTTCAGTGCACAATATGCACATCGAAGACACTTTGGTTTACGATCCCCTTGATCCTTGAATAATTCAAAGTAAAGCTGCCTCGGTAATTAAGTGTCACCGTGGGGAAAAAAAAAGAAACAACGACCCCTCCATTCGTGCACAGATTTCTGTTTCAAACGCAATACTGCCTCTGCTCACTACCACTGCATCGGCATCTGTCTGCAGACGGACAAAATGTGTGAGCATCACAGTTTGACCTGGAAAGACCCATCCAATAGAAAGGAAATGGGGAGGCTGGAATGTGACCTGAGATTTTGGGACAAGCTGGCATGCATGTTATTGGGAGCAAGTGACGTGCAATGGGACAGTGTGCAATGAGATGGGACAGAATTTGGGGGAGTGGATGTGACGACACAAGATAAGTGTAAGGCACCACGGAGAGGTTAGCACCTTCAGGGGCGGCGAGGATGCTTTATCGACGATTCCAAAGAAACGTGAAACCTGTACACAGTCACCGTGCAAATAATCATGGCTATTCTGTGATTATGATCGATAACAAAAAGATCGTGAACGATAGTGGTCGCGCAGAGAGACCTTCATCCAGCAGTGCACTGACGATGATACTGAGACTATGATCAAAAATAATATTGAAACCTGTACACAGTTCCATGGTGATTTACTACTTCAAATATAAATAATGGAATGTGTTTTTTCCAGGCAGGCCTCGCCGACTCTCAAGCCTGAACGCATGTAAATAACAATCACATATGCACCCTTTTTAATAAAGCCAGTGGCTATAACAGATTGTTCTTCACACACGTGTGCACCATTAGTGTCAGTGGTTTGTGGGTTTACCCATAATGCTCTACAGCCATCATGGCACCATGTGTTAATTTGCTAAAGAGCAGCGCAGCACAAGAGCTGAGATTTAAGAAGATCCATGTGGTGTGGAATGACATGCCACATGCCTCTGTCATGCCGCAGGGCAACACTGAACAATTTGGGATTCTTTTTAAATGTGCATCGTGCCTGGCGAAGAGGAAACACCCTTGAGAGCCAGGCACGCTGAGATCCTGAGTTCAAATCCGGGCAGCTGTCCCTCAGCTCACCTTTTCTCTATTGCCCATTCTCTTCCTCTTATCTCGCCCCTCCACTCATTCCCGTCCCTTCCCTACCCTTTCGTGATCCCCAAGTATAATCTATTGCTGTCACTCATTCCCCAATCTCTGTTTTTGGGGTCTTTAGTTTGTTGTTCTTCCCCCGCACCTCCGATTAGCACGGTTGGCTGTGTGCGGTATGTGCAAGAAGTTCAGCGTACGTAAGTACATCTCAATCATTCTATTCTGTCAATTGTTTTGTAAGCTATGTCAAGTGCCTTGAGTGAAGGTGCTCAATAAATATGAATGACATTATATTAACCCGATTCTCAAGATTAGCGGGCTTGGTGTTTAGCACACTCCACTCTAACTCCAGCTACCTTCATTTGAATCCCAGCTGAGATCAACATTATTGGTGAGTGCCATTCCAAGCAGTGTTGCTCCTCACCCTTCAGCAATCGACAATGACCAGAACAGTCAAATAACCCCTATGACCGACATGGCATGGGGAGGCCTTCATCCAGCAGCTGATTGACAAAGGGCTTGTAATATTATTATTTTTCAATTCTTAGGTTTTTTCGGTAAAGTCACATAGGTAAAAAATTAAAATTAATAAAAGTAAAATAAAAATAATTTTATTAATTTTAATTTTTTACCTATGTGACTTTACCGAAATAAACTAAGAATATGAATCCTTGCAGTCACGAAAGCTTCAAATCTAGAATTATAATTTTTCATTTCAGAAACATTTCGTCAAAGTTGGCATTTGGTTGGCTGCTGCATTAACCCATCAAACAATACGAATGCTAATTTTGTTCTTAAATCATCATCTGCCATGGCCAATCCACTGCTTGATAATGGCCTCCCATAGCCACCACCTTCTCACAAGAGATAAGCAAACGCATTAACATTTCTTAATGAGTGACTTGAATACAAGAGTGAGTAAAAGGTGGGCAGATAATAACATCATTGGTAAACCTGGCGTTGAAGTAAGAAATGGTATGTGAACTTTTCACATGTAACACAATGTTAAACTAGTGCCTTGTTCGAATGTAAAATGTATTGAATTTGCATTATTTATGTTTTATTTATGTCACATACATATTATATTTTTCCTTCATTTTATCCTATTTTTCATTGCCTTACATTCACGATGTTTTTATACAATTTAAATCTTGTTGTTCAATCTTCTTTTCCAATCAACTACTGGATGCGGGCTTTCCCTTGCCGTGTCGGTTGTGGGGATTATTTGACCACACATCCATCATCACGCTGGTCAGTGCAGTTTGGTAAGGGCGGGGTAACAATATACATGGGATCGCAGAAGTACGGAATAACAATGGCCTTTGCTACACAACCACTGTTTTAGTTTATTAATCCTATAATTATTTAAATTCTGCATTTGTCCCGGGATGTCTGCCCCCTCCCCCATCAACCAGGACGCGTTGGGTACATGGGCCTAGTGAATCTTTGCATGCGGTTGTTGTGTTTGTCACCAAACGTTCTGCAACGGGCCTGTGTTCTTGTGTACAGCAAAATTTTACTACAAATATAAAAAAAAAATCTAAAATCTGCATTTGTATGGCGCGTTTTATTCTGACCTGAACCACCCTTGAAAAATAGACTTTTGGTCTCAATCGGCCCTTACGAGGGATGTGTTTCTGATTTTCAGGAGAATATAAAAACAATCTGAAAATTAGATTGTTTTGAATCACTTCTGTGCTTTTCCCACCCAAAGTGCGTTTCGTTAAACCGAGGTCACGTGATGGCACTTTTCGTGTGAAGAAAGATATCATATTTGCGTTAAAACTGTTGATTCACCGACTAAACTTTACGTAATAAATGAACAGTAAAACAATATTATTCAATGATTGAAATGCACGTATTTACTGATTAAACAGTGACAGTAACGTTTTAGGCATTTACATCGCAAGAACACACAAGGTGTGTCTAATTACTAAGGCATTTATGGGTCACATAAACGGAAATATTATTCTCCTTGAATCTGAAATTGGGCTGAAAAATCATAAAATCATATTTTCACAGAAACGTCACCCCGAGCTCTTCTTCACCTATTAACCACATTCCTGCGGAGGGAGCTGGTAGGAACGTTGGGTTGCTCGGTCAATGGCCAGGGTCAACGGCGGCGTGGTGTATTCCACAAATATGGCCGACTGTGAGGGCGGGCACAAGCCGGCGTGAGTATGTTAAACGTTGAGTTTTATAAGGGCACCACGGGGTGACCAGCCCCTCCCCACCCCGCCCCACCCCTTCCACCCAGCCCAGCCCCTCCCCACCCTCCCCACCCAGCCCCTCCCCACCCTCCCCACCCAGCCCCTCCCCACCCTCCCCACCCAGCCCCTCCCCACCCTCCCCACCCAGCCCCTCCCCACCCTCCCCTCCCCACCCAGACCCTCCCCACCCTCCCCTCCCCACCCAGACCCTCCCCACCCTCCCCTCCCCACCCAGACCCTCCCCACCCTCCCCTCCCCACTCAGCCCCTCCCCACCCTCACCGCCCAGCCCCTCCCCACCCTCCCCTCTCCACCCAGCCCCACCCTTCCCATTTTTGGATGCACGACGGACGGACACAATAATCCCCTGTGGGCTGGTGTAACCAGGAGGTTCCTACCAGTATTAAACAAAGACCTCTCTCCTCTGTCCGGCGGTAAGGAAGCAGGGCTGTGTGTGTGAATCTCTCTCGGCGTGGGAGTCAGATGGTTGCTCACTCACCCGCAGGACCTCAATTGCCAGATCGCGTGCCTCGAGTTCTCCCTCCAAGAAGCTCAGGAGGGAAAGCATCTGCGGTCGGCTCAGGTTCTCCATGTCCAGTTGACCTACATGTCCCTCCTGCATGAAGAGGCCAACAAAAAGAGCACCCGCAAACATCCCGTCAGGTTTATAAGAGCGAGAGAGAGAGCGAGGAGGGTAGGGGCATATGTCAGTGCTGTGTTAAAAAATTACAGCCGTGCTGGCGTTCAAAAAGTATATACATTTTGGTTGAAAATGAAACGACCTTCCTTCAATCGCACGACTCCTTTGTTCAGCAATACAAACGCAATGGATTTTTCTTTTCTCGGTATCACAGGATGACAAGCCGGTTACGCCGAAAACATTGCGACAATGGCTTTCAAAAAAAATGTAATTCAATATTCAGTATATCAACGTGTAACATAAAAACTGCGTGAATGATTTGACTCTGCAGCTCTGACCCAGTTAGCCGAATGACTGACAATACTGTTGAAGGGATTCGTATTACAGTCAATGTATTGGCCACACCTAAATGGGGGGTTTGCTTTGAAACTCCGGGGCTGAGCGAACAACTGGCGAGGTTTGCTCGGCTTGGAGTCTATAAAAAATAACGCCCCCCCCCCCGCACTCCTCTACCGTAGTCATAACGAGCTATACAACAAACAAAATATCCCAGCACAGACCACACCATTCACACCCACGTGTCTGCGGTATAGGTTTAGCGCTGACAAGCCGATACAGCCGTGGGTGTCTCTGTGCGTGTGTGCGCAAGCACCACGCCCAATGCACTTTTCCACCTCTAAAGCCCTGCAAACACAAGAGAGCCCTTCCCACCCCCGGCAACAAACACCGATATCCCGCATTGAGCAGAGGAGGAAGCAAGCCCGCTGGAACGTGCCCACAATCCCACGCCCGCCTTACCCTGGGCTGCCCGTCAAAAGGAAGGCGCGTTTACGAAATAGCTGCATAATTGAGACGCGAAGCAAAGCCACGAGCAGCTTAATTACCACCCCACTCTTCCCACCCACCCACCACCACCACCAAACACAGCCACCACCGCGACCGCGTTCTTCCGACCTGCATTGTAACGCGGCCGTTTCTCTTCCCCCCACCCACCCACCCACCTTCCCTCTTGCCGACAAGGTCTGCGCGAGAGCCCACACGCAACCAGCGAAAGGACAGAGCCATCCATGCAGTGAAACACAACGCCATGACGTCACCGCCCCCAAAAACCAGTCTCTCAGCAAGTTTTCACGTGCGCGTTGGGGTGGTGTGGATGGATGATGGGTGGAGTGTGTGGGTGGGTGGGTGGCTGGATGATGGGTGGAGTGTGTGGGTGGCTGGATGATGGGTGGAGTGGGTGGGTGGCTGAGAGGCGGTGGCACATTTCAAACCGGAATCTCACACCGCTACTTCCCACCCCGATGTGCAAATACGACTACAATGTGGCGTTCTGTTAGGGGGCAAACACCATCAGGGGTCATCCGGCAGGGTCCTCATTACCGCAGGTCACTGTTCCAGAAACGAAATCATGGTAATGACTCATAAGGCCAATCACGGCACGTTAAGTGCATGGCACAAACGGGGAGGATACTGGAACAGCAGTGTTGCTTCTAGATTTGAAGCTTTCGTGACTGCAAGGATTCATATTCTTAGGTTGTTTCGGTAAAGTCACGTAGGTTAAAATCACGACGTTTCGGAGGCAACACAAGCTTCCACCTGAAGACGGAAGCTTGTGTTGCCTCCAAAACGTCGTGATTTTTATTTTATTTTTATTTTATTAATTTTAATTTTTTTTTTTACCTACGTGACTTTACCGAAAAAACCTAAGAATATGAAGCAGTGTTACTCTCAGGGTGGTGAAGCACACTGGACGTGGTCGATCTCCGGGCGAGGCAGATGGAAACTGCGGGGAAAGGTTTATGAAATGCCACCGCCTCCGTAGTACATATGGACTACACCAATTCATCAATCAAGCAGGTCGCGTGTGGTGGTGATGGTGGGGGAGGGGGGGTAAAGGGTGGCTCATATACTCCGGCCTTTTTAGGGGCCGTCCATAAATGACGTCACGCGATTTTGGACGATTTTTGACCCCCCCCCCCTCGTCACACGGCGTCACAAAAAGTCATACCCCCCTCAAATGACGTCACAAAGCTCTGCCCCCCCCCCCCAAATAAAAGATGCTTCAAATCGCTTTAAACTATTGTCATTGTAGTGCGTATTTAATGTGCCGTTGCACTCTGATGTTGTAGGAGAAAACATTTATTAAAAAGTCTATTTAATTAAGTAGAACGTGTTGTCTATATGTATTTAGAGTTGCGCATTTTGATGTGACGTCACATTTCTCCCCCCCCCCCCCATCGTCACACATCGTCACAAATGTCTGACCCCCCCCCCCCCTAGGTACGTGACGTCATTTATGAACGGCCCCTTTCCCCCAACAGTGGCGCGGGCGTGACAATTGCAGGGCTGCACCTTTTACCGTGTGCTAGAGGTAAATGTTGAAATCGCTTGGGATCAAAATGTATCGGGCGTGGTGGTGGTAGTGGGGGCGTTGCGTTGGGCGTAATTAAAGCTACATGTGTGCAAGTCCTCAAAAAATATACGGAAACAGGAAAACGAGATGACATAGCGTTCGTCCCTTGGGTGGTGGTGGTTGTTGTTGTGTTAATCTGATCAATAATTAACGGCGCAAATTTTTTTTTTTACTCTCTGCTATGGCTTTCTCTCTCCAAAACCGATTATAGCCGTCACAGGATAGGCAGCAGAAATACTTAATGATCCGGGTTAATCAGTGGTGAAACATGTGGTCACCACTTTGCGCCGTATACATTGATATCAGGCAGGGTATGTGCACGGTTCTGTAAATATTTTACCATCTGGGTCGCTCACGCTCCAAGGAACTTTGCACAATGCCCATCTTCCAATGGCAGTCCCAAGCCAGCAACTTCACGAAAATTCCACATTCCCACGGCGAGAGCCAGTCCCTCCGTAGGCTCCATCGCTCCAGTGTGGACGCACCACTTAAGGGGTGCGGATTGACCAGCTGGGTGATTATTTTACACCCCCTCGGGAGGAACGCTGATGATGTGGTCGAGAGGACCCTGACGTACATTTGAACCCATGACCTTGCTCTTATACAAACATCCTGCAGGCCGTTAAATCAGCCCCTCTGTAACGGCACTTGTCGTGAGAACAGGCTTGCTTTTTGTTCGAAATCATCCTGATATAGGCTAATGGACACCCCGATAAATACCACAACTGACTTGACATGCGTTCGATATATATACCGTACTCGAATACTCATCGGAATACTAAAAGTATAATTGAATGACAACTCTCCATCAATCCACTGCTGGATGAAGACCTTCCAACACTCCTCGTGTCCTCCCCACATTTATCACGGGGGGTGGTTTGACCATGCAGCACATGCATCAATCATCACGCTCGGCAATGCAGGTTGGTGAGGATATGGCCCTGGGTCTGGTTCAGCTATCAATCGCCACTGACGCCTTAGGATGTCTGCCGTGGCCATGATGGGAACTCAGGTTGCATGGTTCATAGCACTCGACGCGAACCATTGTCACTGCTCCTCCACAAAGAGTACACTGTACATTTGTGTACACATGTTACGTGGAACAGTATGTATGTTACACGCAACAGAACAGATGAGTCACACAGCTATTTTGTAACAGCAAATGTATGCATGCCTATGTATTGCCAGTGAATGTGTCAATCTCTTTAATCCTTTAATGTGTATATACATAACAAAGACAAAGGTCCCCCTATATGCCCGAACAGGTCGTTGGGACAAGTGATGTTAGCGAACAACTATTAAGGTATACCACAAAGATACCCCATATAAACTTAACATTATTTTGGGTCCAATGAACACATATGAAGGCCGGCATGGTACGCAAGGGGGTACGTGACCAGCACCACGCCCAGCCACCTTTGTCTCCCTAGTCGCAATGTTTACACATGGCACCGGGTACTAATTTGATTTTGAGTCGACCTAGGGGAGGCCCAGAACAGGTTCAGATATTCGTCACGGGCGTCGAGCGTGAGTGGTAATCGAACTCAGGTCGCCAGTTTCATAGCGCAGCGTGCTAACCGCTGCGCCACCACTCCCCACAAATCCCCTCTGACACTCGCACACACCGATGCAACAGCATGTGTATACATGGACACATGCAGTGCCATGCATGCCGTGCATGTGTTCACATACACACATGTTATGTACCTATGTCATTTATGTATACTGTACACACATCGGTTGTGAGTGACTTTCTCCATCAATGTTGTATGATCGACCAGAATTCATCGCTGGGAAATCTGTAAATGAGTTTGATTCATTGCCTTCCGATATCACCGACTTTGTATCTTGTTTGCCACAGACACGCATTGAACATTTCCACTGTAAAATATCGAATTGATGCATTCTATAGTTAAACAATTGATTATTGAAAACATATTTTTTTCGACACTTATTTTTGACAATTATCATTGTTCTTACTCTTTTGCTGCGAACTGTTTTGTTTGACTTTATAACCTAGCTCTCACCTGGTTAAACAGTAAATACGCGTCTGTTTTACTGGAACTGGCCACAACAACCCAATGCAGGACCCCCTAGAAAGAGGACATTGTTGTTATTGCAGTGTGTGAGCGGTGGGCCACACTCTGACCCTGTCATTGTATTGCCAGCCACGGCTAACATCAGTGGCGAGTGACGTCCAACACTGCTGATGGTCAATCCCTGGCCCCACCATTCGCTCATCCGCACTGACCAGCATGGCGAAGTATGGTCAAACAACCCATCCAGCAGTGGATTGACAAAGGCCTGTGAATCACTGCTCCATTACAGCAACAACCAACTCGAGATAGATACACCGTAACCTCTTGTTAATAGACAGTTTTTGTTTCGATTTAAAGCTTTCGTGACTGCAGGGATTCATCTTCTTGGTTCTTTCGGTAAAGCCACGTGACTTTACCGAAAGAACCAAGAAGATGACAGTTTTTGGTTCCATCACTAACTAACAATGCCTATCATAAGGTGTCTACCAAATCACAATAGGAAATTACGAATTATATTATTGTAACAAACGAGAGGAACACGATGTATAGAAACTATAACGTGCAAACAGACCCGGTCGTACACCCACGGTTAGCCAAGCAGAGAAAACGGAAATGAAACGTGCGACGATGATGTCAACGCGAAATACGTTCACAAGATTCAACTCGAAAAACCCCCACACACGCACGCACTGAACTGCATGGCAAACGTCGTGCACCACGCGTACACACAGAGAGAACACGTGGAGTACACAGTGCAATAGGTGTGTGCAGGCATGGATATGTCCACACTCGCCAAAACCCCGGGGGAGTCAATAACCATTGTAATTGTGCAACTCTTAACGACTTGCAAGCTCCCCCATTGTATGCAATTGTCAATGGCAATTTGGGTTAACATTGCTACAGCATTGGAATTGTAACGATAAATCATTGACACCTCGGTCTGGTATGCACATGCATACACATATCCTACAAATGTGTTTTTTGTTGTTGTTGAGATGTAATGAACCAGGAAACCCAGACGTGTATAACATGTACATCACCTATCAAATTCATACGACACGTGCATTTGTATCCACTATACACGCGTAGACTATAGTCCACAAAAGACACTACACAGTGCTGTACATTCAATCAATGGCTGTAACATCAGCCGCTGACACAACAACGATACGAGAGAGAGCGTTTGCGGGGGCTGTGTAGATCGCCTGCTCGGACGGTCTCGCCTGTAGATCGTGTTCACATGCAACACAAATCGTCTGCACGCCAGCCAGTAAATCAGCTTAAGTGGTGGGGCGACCGGCAAAACCACGCCCGGCCGCCTTTGTCTCCCCCCCAGGGGGCGATGTTTACACACCGTACCAGGTACATATTCACTTTTGTCGGCCGAGTCCAACTTAGGGGAGGGTCCAGATTCGGTTCACGTATCATCGTGAGCGAGAATCGAACTCGTGTCGCCGGCTAAGCAGCAAATGTCCACGCGTAGAAATTCCGCACCTCCGATTAGCACGGATGTCTACGTACGGCGCGAAAGAAGTTCAACATACACATACATACACACTCTTGCATCCACTCTGCATGCATACGCGTGTGTACAATACACACACTTGCACGTGCTATAACATACGTAGATTCGTCCATAACCAACTCTCCACATAGAGAGTTCTACACAGGTCATTCGATAAGCCAATATCAGCTGCGCACACAACGTTCAACAGTAGCATCTGCATCTAACCAGTGTTACAATAGGCTTGCATTGCCCATGTGTTCAAGACACAAACACGCACACACACGCACGCTTTACAAAACACATACATGTGTGTTAGTATTGTTCAAGGCAACAAGGCGGCGTCCTGTTCTCGCCCACTTATCCACTGCTGGTTTATACTTTCATCCAGCAGTGAATTGACCACGACTCACCATCATCATGATCATGTAGTCTATACTCAACAGAGTGCTATAGAGAAGCGATTCCTACCACTGACTTCATCAATGAGCCCCGAACCAAAGGATGACTCTCTCTCTCCCCATCACTTTCATCCAGCAGTGAATTGACCACGCCTCACCATCATCATGACCATGTAGTCTATATTCAACAGAGTGCTATAGAGAAGCGATTCCTACCACTGACTTCATCAATGAGCCCCGAACCAAAGGAGGTCTCTCTCTCTCCCCATCACTTTCATTCAGCAGTGGATTGACCACGACTCATCATCATTAGCATGATCATGTAGTCTATACTCAACAGAGTGCTATAGAGAAGCGATTCCAACCACTGACTTCATCAATGAGCCCCGGACCAAAGGAGGTCTCTCTCTCCCCATCACTTCATCCAGCAGTGAATTGACCACGACTCATCATCATCATCATGATCATGTAGTCTATACTCAACAGAGTGCTATAGATAAACGATTCCAACCACTGACTTCATCAATGAGCCCCGGACCAAAGGAGGTCTCTCTCTCCCCATCACTTCATCCAGCAGTGAATTGACCACGACTCACCATCATCATGACCATGTAGTCTATACTATACAGAGTGCTATAGAGAGGCAATTCCTACCACTGACTTCATCAATGAGCCCCGGACCAAAGGAGGTCTCTCTCTCTCCCCATCACTTTCATCCAGCAGTGAATTGACCACGACTCACCATCATCATGACCATGTAGTCTATACTCAACAGAGTACTATAGATAAACGATTCCTACCACTGACTTCATCAATGAGCCCCGGACCAAAGGAGGTCTCTTTCTCCCCATCACATTCATCCAGCAGTGAATTGACCACGACTCATCATCACCATCATCATCATGACCATGTAGTCTATACTATACAGAGTGCTATAGAGAGGCAATTCCTACCACTGACTTCATCAATGAGCCCCGGACCAAAGGAGGTCTCTCTCTCTCCCCATCACTTTCATCCAGCAGTGAATTGACCACGACTCACCATCATCATGACCATGTAGTCTATACTCAACAGAGTACTATAGATAAACGATTCCTACCACTGACTTCATCAATGAGCCCCGGACCAAAGGAGGTCTCTTTCTCCCCATCACATTCATCCAGCAGTGAATTGACCACGACTCATCATCACCATCATCATCATGACCATGTAGTCTATACTATACAGAGTGCTATAGAGAGGCAATTCCTACCACTGACTTCATCAATGAGCCCCGGACCAAAGGAGGTCTCTCTCTCTCCCCATCACTTTCATCCAGCAGTGAATTGACCACGACTCACCATCATCATGACCATGTAGTCTATACTCAACAGAGTACTATAGATAAACGATTCCTACCACTGACTTCATCAATGAGCCCCGGACCAAAGGAGGTCTCTTTCTCCCCATCACATTCATCCAGCAGTGAATTGACCACGACTCATCATCACCATCATCATCATGACCATGTAGTCTATACTATACAGAGTGCTATAGAGAGGCAATTCCTACCACTGACTTCATCAATGAGCCCCGGACCAAAGGAGGTCTCTCTCTCTCCCCATCACTTTCATCCAGCAGTGAATTGACCACGACTCACCATCATCATGACCATGTAGTCTATACTCAACAGAGTACTATAGATAAACGATTCCTACCACTGACTTCATCAATGAGCCCCGGACCAAAGGAGGTCTCTTTCTCCCCATCACATTCATCCAGCAGTGAATTGACCACGACTCATCAGTCACCATCATCATCATGACCATGTAGTCTATACTATACAGAGTGCTATAGAGAGGCAATTCCTACCACTGACTTCATCAATGAGCCCCGGACCAAAGGAGGTCTCTCTCTCTCCCCATCACTTTCATCCAGCAGTGAATTGACCACGACTCACCATCATCATGACCATGTAGTCTATACTCAACAGAGTACTATAGATAAACGATTCCTACCACTGACTTCATCAATGAGCCCCGGACCAAAGGAGGTCTCTTTCTCCCCATCACATTCATCCAGCAGTGAATTGACCACGACTCATCATCACCATCATCATCATGACCATGTAGTCTATACTATACAGAGTGCTATAGAGAGGCAATTCCTACCACTGACTTCATCAATGAGCCCCGGACCAAAGGAGGTCTTTCTCTCTCCCCATCACTTTCATCCAGCAGTGAATTGACCACGACTCACCATCATCATGACCATGTAGTCTGTACTCAACAGAGTACTATAGATAAACGATTCCTACCACTGACTTCATCAATGAGCCCCGGACCAAAGGAGGTCTCTTTCTCCCCATCACATTCATCCAGCAGTGAATTGACCACGACTCATCATCACCATCATCATCATGACCATGTAGTCTATACTATACAGAGTGCTATAGATAAACGATTCCTACCACTGACTTCATCAATGAGCCCCGGACCAAAGGAGGTCTGTGTCCACCCCCACTCCCCCCCCATCATTTACCTCCACTGCTGCTGCTGCTGCTCCCGCTGCTGCCGCTGCTGCTGCCTGTCGGCATTGTCTCGGCCCGGCTCTTACACCCGGACCGGGTCCCGGTCCACTCGTCGGCGTCGCAGTCTCAGTCGCCATCTTATTAATAAAGGCTTCTGATCAGCAAGACAACCTCCTCCTCCCTCTCCTCCTCCTCCTCGTGGTGCCCCTCGTTATTAGTGTTGTTGTTGCTGCTGTTGCTCCTGCTGCTGCTTTGGCTGCTGCTGTTTTTGCTCCTCCTCCTCCTCTCGCTCTTGCCGCTGCTGCTCCTGCTGATGATGATTCCCTGGCAGTGCTGGTGATTTTGCTGACGTCATAATGGGGCACTCTCATCCGCTCGTCGCCGTGACGTCACGGCCATAATCTTCGTCGTCGTCGTCGTCTTCATCATCATCATCATCTCCATCCTCCTCTTCTTCATCCCCAGCGCAACGCTCGCTCGCTCGCTCGGCTCGGCTCTCGGCTCGACTCGTTAGCGGCTGCTCACTTCCACCCCGCGCGTTCCTCGCGCGCACTGCATCACACCGCGCGCGCACTGCGGCCACAAAGACAAAGGTCCCGCGCCTTTTGACGGAGTGATGGAGGGGGGTGGGGGGGGAAAGTGCTGCTCGCGAACGCTGGAACAGCGACACGAGCGCGGATGGGTGGTCAGCATCACGCGCGGCCGCCTTTGTCTCTCCCGAGTGGCGATGCTGCTGCTGCTGGATGCAACCTACTTCTAGATTTGAAGCTTTCGTGACTGCAAGGATTAGTTTTTTTTCCGTAAAGTCACGTAGGTAAAAGAAATTGAAATAAAATAATAATGAATGAAAATAATCAATTGTTTATTAAATCAATTATTTTCATGTATTATTATTTAATATCTATTTTTAATTTTTTCCTACGTGACTTTACTGAAAAAAACTAAGAGTATATGCTCTCCTACTGCTGCACTCCAGCAGCAGCAAGCAGTCCGTGTTTTTGCGCGCACACAACACACACACACACAACACACGCCGTGCGTGACGCCCTCCGATGCTGTTGTACTCTGCACCCGCGTGGAGTACGCACGCCCTTGTGTGTCCACTGCGAACACAGCCCGAACCTTGCCCGGTGCAGCAACCAGCCGGGGTCAGTAAAAGGAAACAAAACACAAACTCGATGTATCTGCACGGCTATCTCGGTGCCGCCAATGCTGCTGTCGATAAAAACGAGAAGTGACTAAGTGATGCAAATCACTTCCTTACCGAGCGACTCGCTCCTTGGATAGATATCTCAAGGACTCACTTTTGTGCTCTGGCGCTTGCAGGGAGGCAATGCATGGGAGGCTTCGGGATGAAACAATACGTGGTGATTACATCATGATCATGATGATGATGGCAGCAACACAATACATATTTATACCCCAAGTCGCTTCCCCCCTCCCCTCCCCGCCGCAATGACCAACGTGGTAAAGTATGGTCAAACATTCTAGATTTGAAGCTTTCGTGACTGCAAAGATTCATATTCTTAGGTTTTTTCGGTAAAGTCACGTAGGTAAAAAAATTAAATTAATAATTTTAAAATTTAAATTAATAATTTTAAAAATTAAAATAAAAAATTTACATTTTTTTTACCTACGTGACTTTACCGAAAAAACCTAAGAATATGATCAAACACACAAACGGGCTGGACATACAAAGTCCACACGCGTCTCGAGTGTGATGCGCTCTGCACTCCGTTAACGCACGGGCCCGACACGCACTGTCGTGATCGCGTTTTCATTCACTCGCACTCGAATTTCACTTCCCCACCACCACCACCACCCGCTCTCTCTCTCTTCACTGCACCCACTGTGCTTACATCGGGGGGCACTAAGGAAGACGGGGGGGTAGGGAGTCGTCTCTGTGACAGGGCAGAGAACTCCAGCAAAATCATTTCATGATGCTGTTTCCCAAAACCGACCGACCAACACACCCACCCCAGCAATTCCCACGCTATTCGTTAGCGAGGCTCATCTGACTTATACGTGGCGATATGATCCACATTTTTTTTGTATACATATATAAAAAACAAAAATGCCACCGGTCCATGCTGAAATAATTTGCAAAGCCAAACGGCTGTTTGCGAATCTCGATTTAGTCGCTAAATGTTGCCGGATAGGCCCTCAACGTTAAAGCACGCCACTGTATTCTTTGGTTCTTTCGGTTAAGTCACGTCTAAAGATTAAATAATAAATTAAATAATAGCATATTACGACGTTTCGATTGCAACACAAGCAATCATCATCAGGCATAAAAGAAATAGCAACAAAAATCTAACTAGAAAACTATAGACAGACATACAAGCGGACAGATATCACACTGTAATTTATCGTGTTACCGTGTTGCATACAAAGTCAACCGATCAGGATCTTTAATACGTACCTAGAATAATGTCACCAGACGATTTAGTGAGTAATCTTGGTTCTTTCGGTAAAGTCACGTAGAAGGGAAATAATAAAATAATATCAATATAAAACAATAAAAATTCTCACGACGTTTCGACTGCAACACAAGCAATCATCATCAGGTGTGAAATCCACAGCAATGCTATTTGGAGGTGTGGGGAAAGGACAACAAACTAAACGCAAAATTGTTTCTAAAGAAACGAGTTTCCAATTTAAAATTACGATGACGATGAAGGTCTAAGGTTTAATACTGGAAAGGAGAGTATATTATGTGTTGCTTTTTTTCTAATAAAACAACTTTAACAAGAATTACAGTAATAACATCTAAAAAAAACGGAGTACCTCCAGTCCAGTAGTGCATCCAGCTATAAACTTTTCAGAGGCATAACATCTCGACAGGGGCAAATCATTTCGCTAAACAGAATTGACTGCATTTAAATTACGATTCCAATATACAGTATATCATGACCTGTAAATGTATATAAAATGGAATATACACACTAGGAATAACCAGTTGGTTATTTGCCATTTTTGACAGTTATGAAATGTTTAAAAAATGGTCTGTGACATACAATAGCCGTCTACAACTGTTTATTTTATTTTACCAGGTAATGCCCATTGAGCTATGTAGCTCTTTTTCAGAAGTGACCTAACCATAAATGACAGCTCAAGTAAGTGGATTAGCACGTGGAAATGTATAGCAATTAAGTACCTCTAAACATATTTTTCTAAATGTGTAGGGAAAACCCGGAGGATCAACAGAAAAATCCACGCGACCACGTGGACAGAGACATGCAAACTCCTACTATACAGCCGGCGTCAGGGTCGGGATCGAACCCACGACTTCCCGTATATCAGGCGAGGTAGTTAACATCTCACCACCGTGGCACCCCATTCAGGGGGGGGCGAGGGAGCAGGCAACCGCCAATCAGCGACTCCTGTTGGTGCACCTCTGCTACTCTGCACTGTGTGGATCTTAGCGCACGTCATTTGATATCTTGGCATTCCATTCGTTTTGTTACAGCCCGCACGGGGCACACTCACCTTCCTGTTGACATCGTTATGCAGATTCTGGGAGGATGTTGTGTTATCAATATTCAAGTTGTACCTAGATGTCAGAGGAAAAAAAACCGCTTTAACTATTTCCATTGCAATTGTTTTGGAACGTCAAATATGACTCAAACTGAACAATATGTACGTACCACGTGGTCACACAATCTACCCCTCTGGGGAGAAATTGTAATACACGAATCAATATCAGCGAAAGCAACACCCGCACATAACGAGCATGCACATGCGCAAAAAATGTCCACAGATCTCAACGAATTGGGTCTTTATGCGGATTGAATCTGTGACTTTGAGGATCATCCCAAATTATGAATGGGTTTTATTCGGGTACTCCAGTTTTCGGGTGGAGCAGCGGTGGTGCATTGGTTACAGCAATGCGCTAGAAACCCGGCCATCAGAGTTCGATTCCCGGCCACGGCTCACGTCAGCGATATCTGAGCTGGTAAGTGATGATTTCACAACTGATGATGATAGCTTGTGTTGCAATCGAAACGTCGTGAGAATTGTATTGTTTAATTTTTATTATTATTTTATTATTTCTCTTCTACGTGACTTTACCGAAAGAACCAAGAATATGAATCCCTGCCGTCACGAAAGCTTTAAATCAAAGGTCTTACACATGTTCGATCAACATAGAAATGAAGGAAACACATGCTGCATTTAAATGTTGTTGATTTCCCACTACTAGTACCTGTTGACTTGACGCCTCCGATTTGCACAATTGGCGACGTACGGTGCGAAAGAAGTTCAACAACATGCGTAGATAAAGCACGACGACATAATGGTAGTTTCATATACTGTATTGAATTCTCGTTGGATAGTATGTGAGACCAATTGCTCCAGTCTGGCGGGCGGAGACCACGTTGCAGCTGAATATGGCATCTTGATTTGAAGCTTTCGTGACTGCAGCAATCCATACTCTTTGGTTCTTTCGGTAAAGCCACCTGATGACGGACGCTTGTGTTGCGCCCGAAACGTCGTGATCTATTTTATTTTATACCTACGTGACTTTACCGAAAGAACCAAAGAGTATGAATATGGCAAGCTATTCCTTCTTTGATTCGTTGTTTGATTCTTGACAATATTTGTTAACTCACCTATTCAATATGTCATCAATTATGCACATTTTGCATACGTTATATATGTTGGCCATCGTTGAGGATATACGAAATACGTAAATTAAGTATATTACCGATAACCAAACATAAAATAAATCAAACGTAGCAACGAATACCGTGCCATACCGTGCCATGCCGTGCAGCAAAATCCACTGTTGCCTTGTACCACGCTCCCTCATTCACCGACACACACTCACCAACGTGGTGAAATATATTCGTACAAGTTCCCAAGACGTGGGAAGGCCCTCTCCCCTCGTCCGTCAGTGGCTAGACAAAGAGGGCCGCACATGTTCCAAGTTAGTGTACTTGCCTACGTGTGCAGCGGACTCATTCTCCGAGAATTTTGCCTGCGGGTCACTTGTGGCCATGCCGCGCGTTGACACGAGGTCACCCGTTCGTGCTGCTGCTGCTGCTGGCTTCGATATCTCTGCATCCCCATCGGTTGCCAGCCCTCCCTTGCTGTCGCTGGTACAAGAGAAAGATTTAATTGGGCCCTCGGGACGGCGTGTGCGTGTGTGCGCACTGTGACGCAAAGACCACCGCAATGCTTTCACAATGCATTACTTACATGCCCATAAGTTCAAAACTGCAATTACACACACGCTCATAGTAACACTGAAAATCCAAATGTTACACTGCACAGCTAACCGTTGCACTGTACGTTACGTTCATTTCTTATTTGAAATCCCTTTGTCAATCCGGTGCTGCATGAAAACCTCCCCATGCCGTGCCGGTTGTGGGGTTGTTTGAGAATAATTTGCCGCGCGAGTTAGTGAAGTTTCAGGGAAGCCAGGTTTGGGGGGGGGGGGTCCAGGACAGGACTGATTCAGAAAAAATGTACCACTCATGTTAGCCGTGGCTGAGAATCGAGTTCTGATGGCTGGTGTCCAGTACGGAGAATTAACAACCAT